ACTGAGAAGGCGGACTGGGGATATCATGCGCCAGGTCAAGCTGTCGAGTGGAATCGAAAAGGGAAACGAGAAGTTGGGCGTCCGAGGCGAGGGTGACATGGAGGAGATGATGTGAGGAAGAAATGAAAGCTTGTGGGCAGTCGTGGCGCCAGGTTTTGAAGACTGCAGAGAAGAGATTGGAATGGAGGTGTGCTACTGAAGCCCTATGTTCCACTAGGAGCCCAAGGTAAAAATAATAATAATAATTCACTTTATGCATTTCTATGCATAAATTTCTATTATATGAATGATAACAGCTGGATAATTACCATTTGCTTTCACTGATTTCCAACCACTGATTCTTATCGTTTCAGGGACCTCAAGCAGACAGTCCACACAGCTCAGACCAACAGTCAGGGACATCATCGACCGATGCCACGTCTTGGTCTGTCCACCTTGAACCTACTTCCGACCTAATGCAACTTTGCTCAGCATGGTATGTCAATGTAGGCGGTGGCTCGGCATGCATAGCACATAATCAAAACCACCTCAGTTGGTGTAGATCAGCAATGTTACGAAGACATACATGGTCAAAGACAAATGAAACATAACTCTTAAACTATAGTGAAGAAAGACTCTACTTGAAATCGCATATTTTTAAAAAGAAGTTTCCATAAAAAAATAGCAGTACGCAGCAGAGAATGATATATCTAGTTAGTATTGCACAGTCCGAGCTTATCTGCTATCTGCAACTAAAATATGAGTGTGGTGACACACATCTCCAAATGAATTCATGAACAATACACTTCAAATTTTGAAAGAGTACAGTTTTCCCTCAAGGTTGTTGCTAGAATGGTGTATGTCAGCGATCACAAAATAAATATAAGTTCCATTTCATCTCGCCAACTTTATCAATTGCCTTTGCAGATCATGTAATGGTGGAGTAGAAATCGTCATATGTTGTAAGTGACATTCTATCACAACGCTTAGCTAAAGGAGTCAACAGGAGGTTTTATGCAGATCGACTTTGTAGATCACTCAGTAGCCCGCCAATGCTTAGTCCAAAACTAAAGGATAGCCTACCTAATCTTAGCTCTTCATCTTGCATGTATCAATCTAACTGTTCTTATGGAACTAGTTACATAGGGTGTACGATTAGGTAGGTGCGTCTCCGGAGACGAGAGCGTTTACCAGCTTGATTCGGAAAGGGTAAAGTGAGAGTGGTGAAAAAAAAGTTCAGTCCTAGCGCATCTAGTCGACATAGGGCACCGCATAGATGCTAATAAAGCTTTTACCGTCATTCATCGTGTTCCTAAAACGACACTACATGTAGCTTGCCAACGCTTGATCGACACAGCGGAGGCTGTCGCAATAAGAGTGATCAAGCCTGAACTCCGCATTCAGAAAGAACATGTCTAAGCATTACTTCTCCATTGGCCTTCAGCTAACTAAAGGTCCCTCGTGTCATTTTGTTCGTTATCTTTTTGTTCATCACCACCATCCCAATATTGACTAATTTACAAGATAAAGATAAATCGATTTCCTTACAATCCCTAGATCTTACTCCGTTTTCAAAATATACCTTTCCACTAACATGGCTTGTTTTTACGGTGTACAAATGTATTTTATAATTGTAGAAGAAGAAGAGAGAATTTATTGAAATGAATATTCCTTGTTCAGACTGTTGCTTTTTATAAATACTATGGGAGTCTTTAGTTGTTGTAAATCGTCTTATGTATCTACATTATTGATAATCGACTACAACTTTCTAAAATCTGTTTTTAAAAAAAATTTCATACTGCAAGATCGTTCAGAAGTACAGATTTCAATCAAACTATCTCCTACAGAAACATACTACTAATATTAAAAGCAATAAAAGTGACCAAGTAATAATTTTAGTTTAATCATATTCATTTCTAAAAGTTAAACAAATTGATTATTTAAGAAGTAGGAAATACTGGATGGAATAATCACAACAGTAATACTCATAGCGATAAATAAACTTTCATGACTTGATATAGAGTTGAATATACGGGAAAAAATATCAAACGAAAGTGAATGTGTCCTTCCTAAACTCTTCCCTACTTTCTGCTATATACTGCCTTATTTACTTTTTGCTCCTGAATCATTCGTCCACTTAACTAGTAAACACAACGTGTAACGTATGTGTGTGTATGTGGATATGCAAAAGAATGAGCCAGAAACGAACATCTTGTTTCTTCTTCTTCTGCTACCTCAACAGAACACGTGATGGACTGAAATGAAACGGTCAAATTATTGATTTTATCCCCTAGACCTAATTGAGTTTTATGCTTACTTTTCTATCTTATTGAAAAACACAAGAGAAAATAATAAAACACCGCTCATAGTGTATAAAAGGCTATTTTTACTGATAACCGATAATTTGACTTTTAAGTCTGAAAACTAACGTGCTCAAAACTTAATAATAAGCAACATTTAGCAATGTGGTCGGCTTTCGATACTACCTGAGGCTAACCTACACCTCAATATGTGATAAGTAGCTGAATGACCGAATGGTTGAAAGTTAAGTGACTAAAACAATATGTCATACGTCTCTTTTTGAGGACAGCACAGAAAATCAGCACAGAACCTCATACACACACAAGTTGCCACACTTCACACCAGAATACAAAGAACAAGTGGGTATAAAAAGACTGATATCATGGTAGAAAAAGGTGCATAGGAGGAGACACGATTAAAAAACTACGGTTAGTAAAAAAAGTCAAGCTTTAGAAAAGATAAAAGAGTGAATACATTTGTGCCAACGTAACCAATAGTTCAAAACTATGTCAATCAGTGTCACATCTTGGTCTGGTCACTCTGAGCCTTCTTGCAAACTAATCCAACTTATTCCAGCATTGGATGTAGAGGTAGGTGGTGGCTCGGCATGCAGAGCCATATCTCACAGCCGTATGGAGGCATATGAAACTACCTGCTTGTTGTTTGGGTTTGAGTTATTGCAGAGGAATTAGAACCGATTGCCTAGTTACTACATGGCAGTTAGAAGTTGGGGTCAATAAACAACAGCTGTACTCAGTGACTTTAAGGAAAAAGGTATACGGAGAAAATTGAAACGAAATTCTGCGATGATCAAATGGATCAGAGGATGGACGCTAGGACTAACAAGGAGAGAGAGGGAGAGAGAGAGAGAGAGTTATCCAAAAAAGTATTTACATGATTATAACTAGTCGAAGAGTTGTGGACAGTCAACAGTGTATTTCAAGTCCATCTCACCATACAAAGAGAGAGTTTGATGCAATTTCTTCCAAATTTGAGAACTACTCAGCACTATCCAACTAAACTTTTTCATAAAGCTTACACTATGATTATCTGTGGAGATGTGACCTGTTGACTATGAGACTGGATTTCTCGATAAAATCCACCTTCAGTGAATTTGGGCATCCACAACTGTGTGATTCATAATGAGCTGTGTAATAGTTGAATGGCAAAACCATCTACGACCATATGTAGCACACTGGGATATGAACCACCATGGCATTTTATCAACAGTCAACACGTTTTCCAACTTAGTTCAATCTTCCATCAGCTTGTAATGAAAACTGGTCAGATACTGAACAGAAACATTCTAAACATCAATTACCATACATTGCTCAACTAGAAACGAGTCTGCTAGGGTGATTTTTAATGCCAATCAGAAAGTGTACTCAATGGAAACAATAAATTCATCCATATAAAAAGATGGATGATAGATAGAAAATGCTATTGAAGTATGCAGAAGTTTATAAGAGAGGGGATTAGCAAATGAAGTTTATTGCGAAATGTTTGAAATTTCGAAGGTGACGAAGAGTGTATAGATTTGAGCTGCTATGACTTATTCTGAACCCTATCAGTGGAACTCTCCAATCAATGACTATTTTTATCTCGTGGATATCAACAAGAGAGCTTACATCCTGCTACATGTTCAGATCAATAAACGAGAGCTACATAGACGTCTTTTTCTAGTAAAAGACTGATTGAAGCTGGTGTAACTTATTCAGTGTCAATGTTGAACTGGTCAAAACAGCATCAGCAGTGGCTTTGACTGCTGTTCTTCAAATTCACATTCTTCTCTAAGCTTGAAAATGATGCACCTCAAAGATGAGTGCCGTTACATCTCACCTGAGAATAGATGAAATTTTACTTCCCAACTCCTACTTCCAGATAGCGTTCTGTTTCTGTTGAGTTGAGTATGCTGAACCACCACCTACCTTGATATACAATGCTAGGATAAGATGCATTAGGTTCGAAGACGGTTCAGGGTGACCAGACCAAGATGCGATGCTAGTCGACATACTTTCACACTGTTAGTCTAAGTGATATGGGGAGATGTAGACTACCTGGTTGGAGTCCCCGAAACAATAGAAATCAGTGGTTCAAGACACTTCGTGACGAGGCTAAAAATAGTTCACAGTGGTGCAGATGTATCAACTCCTTGACGTCTTCTAAAGCTTGAATATTTCCACTAACCGTTATCTTTAGACGGTTTATTCTCTCACAAAAATTTTGTCTACTTTGATATCACTATTTGTTCTTCGTGTACTACTATGAAATGTGGGCAACTTGAAATGATGCTTTTGCTTGCTGAGTTTTAAGTTGAAGTTCTCTTCGTTTCTTTCCACTTTCAGATTTGCGTGCTAGTTGAGTAAACTGTCACCGCGAAAATTAAGGAAGTTGTATTTGACTCCCATCAGGCTTAATGAAAACCTAATAGTTGGTTGTTGCACAGTATCACGGGAGCTTCAAGAACTTACATGTCTGCTGTGAAAAAGAACAAATGTTCAAAGTAACCCATAGTTCTGAGGTACGTAAACTGAGAAGACACGCATAACGGCTTACATTGAGAAATAGGAGAATTGAACCCGCAAAATGCTCAATCTAAGTACAAATAAGACGAGTAGATAACACTGTGAAAACCTTGAAAATATATGTACTCAATAAAATCTCTTTCTGTATTAAAAACTCATTTTCACATTGATTGATTAAATAATCTTCCAACTTACCAGCTACTACAAATCTAGTACGAGTAATTGTCCCATTCAATCCCAAGAATGTTGTATCACCTGGAAGCACGTTACGCGCAGTACAGCTTAGAACAAGTTCTACACCTGGAGTAGCATTTGGCGCTAAATAGAATGTTGCTCCTTGTATACTATATTCATTAGGCCGAAGGCCTAACTGACGATGACGCTCAACAGTGGATAAACCAAGTCCAGGAACACGATGTGCACGTTCGTATGGTTCTTTCCCATTGCCATTAAGCCACTTTTCATCAGAACTCACGGGAACTTGATGTAGTGTACCAGAAGATGCAACAGATGAACTGTCCTTATTTTCTGTTCCCGGAGGAGAAGGTATCATTTGCTGTGGGGCAATATCCAATCCTGCATTAGTAAGAGTTAGTTCTCTGGTTATAGGATCATCTTCAAGTAAGGGAGGTAATCGACCACCTTGACGCAAAGCATCAATTTCTTCAACAGTAAGTGGATTGGTGGACGCAACGGTTGTGTCAGACGGAGAGAGAGCATAGGAGGTGGATGACCATCTGCGTAGCAAGTAATTTCAGATCCAACATAGATGAAACCTTCACGGGGACGTGGTAATAAATAAGATATTGTTGTTGGATCTGTGAAAATAAAATGGCATTCAATAGTATTAGTTACAAATAAGTATCATAAAAAATATTTAAAAACAAACATCTAAGTAGGCTAGGCTAATTTTGAGCATAGAAACCTACATGTATTAAAACCATAATATCTCAGCTCTGAAATTATGCCAGAATATGATTGATGCAGTAGCAAGGGTGGTCAGACAGCAAAAGCCCTTTCATGTCCTCTACCATGTTTCACAGCCACATAGTAGGACAGAGAGAACGTGTGTTTAGTACCCTCAGCCCTTAATACGCCAATGGATTTCGCAGAAGCCCAGCAGACGGCAGAAGTCCACGAAAGCCAGTAAAGCGTCTCGTATCCGTGCACAGATTTCTTGGCCTACTGATCCACCACGGTTGATCCGACTTCCCATGTAAGTGAAAAATATCAAATAAATGGCAAAAGAACGGTACATACTTGCAAGTCCTGCACTCAAAACTGAAATATCAAGGGGAAGAGAATCAAAAAAAGATAGTAAAAGGACGGGACCTAGCTAGGATTATATAGAAAGGAAAGCGAAAGTCACAGATGAGTGAAGGACATGCTTTGGTAGTCCATAACCAGAACGAAATTAAAGACGTTAGGTAGGAAAAGCGATATGTCAAAATACAGGATTATTGAATATGTATCAAACCAGATCCCTCTCCTACCAGCATACGCAATTTTGACTAAAATAAAGGTCTCAGATAATTTAATTGTTTGGACTGAACGAAGATGCACCGAATTCATCTATCTTTAAATCTTGAAGGTTTTACGATCTTCTTACGGTTTTCTCTTTGTGTTCATTTAAAGTCGATTAATTCTGACCTGCCCACTGCTGTACCAGATCATGTTGTTCGAAGCGTCAGTGACTTAACAAAGAAGGATGTACAAGTCACTTAGCAAAAGAAATAACACGCTACTCTGTATATAACTAAACATATGTGACCTATAACCGACAAAATCAGCGTAGAACCTGGCATACAAGTGCATCACCTCAAGTTGCCCACATTTCATAGTAGTACACGAAGAACAAATAGTGATATCAAAGTAGACAAAATTTTTGTGAGAGAATAAACCGTCTAAAGATAACGGTTAGTGGAAATATTCAAGCTTTAGAAGACGTCAAGGAGTTGATACATCTGCACCACTGTGAACTATTTTTAGCCTCGTCACGAAGTGTCTTGAACCACTGATTTCTATTGTTTCGGGGACTCCAACCAGGTAGTCTACATCTCCCCATATCACTTAGACTAACAGTGTGAAAGTATGTCGACTAGCATCGCATCTTGGTCTGGTCACCCTGAACCGTCTTCGAACCTAATGCATCTTATCCTAGCATTGTATATCAAGATAGGTAGTGGCTCGGCATGCACAGGGGATGTTCAAGCTATCACATTCGACTGAGGTTTACAACCTGATTAATCGACTTACCTGTCTTGCTTAGTACCCTTCTTCAGAACATGTATGAATAGAAATGAAGTGTAAACCAGCAACGACGTGCAACTTTATGCACTAGATGATGAGACACCTACTGTATGATACTACTTGAGTGTCTAAAATTCGTAGGATTCATATTCATGACTCAACTGCCTATTTAAATTAACCACAGCTTCAACCCGAAAATGATACATGAACCTCGTATAGCGTAAGCAAAGTAACCAGCGCCAATCAAAAGTGTTTACATAAAATGAAATGTTTGAGATTTCGGTTTTTTTAATTTTGAAACCGAGTATGAACACAGGTCACCGGCACCAGCATGCAGCGGGGTAGTGAGGAGTGTGACATTCAGAAATATGATGCGTAAACATACTTACAATATACAGTTAGCCTGCGACGAGTCTCCTTCCCGCCAAGACGGCAAACAACATGACAGTCATGCGCCTTCTCATCAATTGTTAGACGGGCTTTTAGAGTTAAATTATCCTTACTGGTAGATACATGTCCAAGGCGTAGAAGTTGGTCAGCGTGTTTTCGAGCAACATATGGAGCTAAATCAGCCAAAGTTGGTGGTGAGCGAAATCCATATGCTGAATAAAAAACTTCATAGGCTAGATTTTGTTTGGCTTGAGTAACTCGATCGTGTTCAACAACAGCTGTTGGTGGAGGAGGGCATTCAACACTAAAGCTTATTGGAGCTGGAGGTAGCGACCCATCAGTTGAACAATCAATGCGAACAATGGAGCCTGTTAGAAATATTGGGGGTCTAAACGAAGATTGGTTGGTACGGTATGAATATAACGAGAAGCTTCCTTCAACTCCATCGACATTTTGACAAACGTGGGTTGCTTAATTAACTAAAAAAGAAAGCAAAGTACGAATAAAAGTTCGCGTGCATGCATTTCAACGCAATTCCACACTTTTATAAACAATTTACATGGAGGAAATATGAAATATAAGCTGGTGAAATAGCACGTGACTAGTCATAAGTAACTGCCAAAGTAACCAAGGAACGAAGTAATTTCTAGATATAAATTGCGCCATTCTACCGTGCTTTATTCTTCTATGAAACTGGATCCATTTCATCCATCCGGAGAGCAAGGTTTCTCAGACAACTATTCACACTGGAACTGTGCCTCACTGGTTTTAGGTCACGGGTTCAAGCCCCACTCCATCTCCTGAGGTTCGGAGAGCCAGGTAGTATCACTATCCTTCACACAATAGGTGTGGCTTATTACCTGCCGCACGAACGTAAATAAAGAATTGCTAAGTTTATTTTGGTTTTCTCGACTTTTCATCACATAAAAGACGTGGAATTGAAATTCTAGGGGGGATAATCAAGATAAGACCGGTTATTACTGAAGTAGTCCTAGTTGCCCAACTTATTGACAAAAGATAGATATTAAGATGGAGGATAAATAAAAGGAAATCCTATAATCAAATGTCACAGGAAGTCAAAAACAAAAGAATTTTCTTAAGAAAATGACGAAATGTGATGGTATAATCAATATAGAGATAAGAGATAAATGGATTTCCGCCAGTGCAATCTATTCCAGGACATCACATGCAATATCCCACCACTTATTTAAACTGCTTTATAGGAACCAACCAGGAGGCTTGAATTCCCCTACGTGGCTGTATGAGATCTAACAAAGTGATGCCACACTTAGTCATTTCAACCTAACCCTATTTCAGCAAAACTGGGACGTTTGGCTGCACGGTGAGTGAAACATTTCCAAAATACAACAATTAATAAAGGTTTACAACCTAGTCAACTTTTCGTATGACTACAAAACCTGAAATGAAATGGTGGCTCCACTACAAGCAACCAGTGCTACGAAGAAAAAGGTTGATCGTACTCTATAAGCCTTTTTACGTCCTCTAAGTGTAAAGGTCATGTTTCACAGTCATATAGTAGGACACAGTAGACTGCTTTGCAGTACACTTGGTTTATATTGGGCAACAGGATATATCACAAGTTGACAAACCCTAATTGCACTTATGTTGAAATTTCGTCAGTTACCGATACAAGATAATCTCAGATGTCCAAGTAAATGATAGAACCGATCACTACAGAAACATTATCCATTTTTAGACCGTGTACCAACATGAAACAGTCCCGAAGTGCGGATGTGTGAAAAACGCACTTTCGAATATTCTTAAATTGTCTTGCCAACACTTTTACCCATCAAGATTGATAAAAAAAATTGCGATCTTACAGAATAGATAATACTTGGGTTTGATACCCAACCCTTCTCAAACGAAACAGACTAGTGAACCAATGTCAAGATGACTGAGACCGAGTGTAAACTCATACTTTTCACATTGTTAGTTCGCAAATGTCATGATGAAAAAAACATCAAAATATGGGTGGTGAACACATCCTTCAAATGAGATCAACCAGTCAGCGTAGTCAGATTAGTCAGCACTATCAACTGTATGCGTTAAAAGTTAGTAATATTACCAACGCCAAAGAGTATACGTGCCACGCTCAGAAAGCTATCGACTGCACTACCTTGGCAGTTTTCGTCAAAAATATCTGCCTACTTTAGTCTGGAAATCAAACGTGGCCACTCTTCGAATCACCTTTCTCAACAGAGCTTATTAGTCACTTTGCCCCCTGCCTTTGACTCATACAAACAGATGGTTGGAATACGAAAGATGTATACCAACTGCAGAATACACAAGTAATGGGATCGAAGACTTAGCGAAGTTGTCGGCGTCTCTTTGAGTTAACATTTCCATAAACCTTTTGAATAGCCACTTACAAACTGGCAGACTGATGACTGAAGACAAGAGGACAAATTCTTAAAGACTACACAGATCCTCAGATGTCCTCTCATTTTGTGAACATTTAAATTATTTGGAAGCAAGGTATGCGTGTCAACATCAAAATACAACTCTACAAAATAAAACAAAATAGTGAGTGCGTATCTAGCTTACTGACCTCTCGACGCAAAAGCCTGTATGATAAACGTCCAAAGAAGGGGGAATTTTGAACACAGATGCAAACACTGTATTTCACACTTATAAGAAAGCCTAAATTAAGTAGAACACAAGTCATCTTAGTGATGCCGACACTCCACCCGAAAATCTTGAAAGATACAAATGCAGCAAACAATAAACATATAAGCAGTTTGAATCCTATTTTGACCACAAAAAGTGGACGATATCTCAAGCACTCATACAAGTGCAGCTCGGTGCACAGAAAGCGGACATGTACTTCCGGCGGAAAGCAATTAAAAATCAACATAACCCCATGCTAAAACCTAGCGGTATGTGAACATTTTGCAAACCAACAAGTTGGTTCACATGAACACATCTATAAGGTTATTACTGATAAGGAAATCAATCGTTCAGAAACGACCATCTTCCTAGTCAGTTTCCATTAACAAAATCAACTACAAGCTTAACTTAGTTAAGTTCAGGTTTAAAAGTCCCACAACTTTACACACCAATCTTCATAAAATGCTAAGAATAAAAAGTACAACATAGACGTACCTGAATAGTCTCGGAGAAAATAGCTGGTGTGTCTGCAAGCCAAAGGGAGTACATGTCCTTATAGTAAAAAACTTCAAGAAGCTGTCCATAATGTGATGGTTCTGGTGTAAATGTCACCGATATTTCGTTTTTTGGTTTGTAAATGCATGAAAAATACTTCTCCAGAGGACCACCGCATTTATCCTTTTGTACACGATATGCCCTTTGGCCATTGAGATCGAAACTGAGTGCCGAGTTCATATCATACTCTGCCCCTCCCACTGGGCTGAACAACCATGTTACAGTTTGTCCTAACTCAACGGGAAACAGTGTTTTAGGCCATACTGCAACTGAACTGATAGAACTGGGTTTCATGGAAGGTTCTAAAGGTCTCAATGGGAAGCTAAAATTTTACCTGCTAAAAGCGATCCGAAACGTATGGCCAAAAGTAATAGAACCGTCATAACTGAGGAGATAACTTGAGACGCACATCAACTTAGGCTCAACATCAAAAGACGCGGTTTTCTTGTCCGGCAATTTTAATGGTGGTAGTTGAAATGGAAAAATAATAGAGACTGGAAAGTGCAGTCGTCATGACTTAATTCTACTGAGGATTCGGGTATTTCTTGGGTCTTGAAAACTTTCACTGCTATCAACATTACTAGTCTTGCTGATGTATATGCATGACTTAAATAAAAACCTTTGGACCAAATATTATTTCAAGTAACCACAGTTTTCATGTGGCGGACACAACAATAATAGTCAGAGCATGGCAGCTGACGGTTGCCTAACTTTCGTGTTCAGGTCTTTCGCTTTGGTTCTTATTGTTTGGATATGCAACTGTAGTCGAAAATGAAGTCTGTTTTCGTGCCACTGGCACTGGTGAGTTGTGTCTTCCGTAGGTTTGTACTCACAACACCTATGTTGCGGGCTGGTTTGTAACGGCAAATAAGTCCCCAAAGTAATTGGCCTAGGGCTGGATGAGATTCAACATTATTGCTGACCTCGATGGTTTTATCTAACTTTTTAGGCTGAAGACATAAGATCAAACATCCAATCCATTTGGCACGTTGTTGTGCTAAGATGCACTGCTCGTATGCGATCCCCTAGTAAACTAGTCGAAACGCATCACCATTTGACACACGTGCTGTTTGAAAAGGGGAGTAGCTTTTCACGCTCAGCTAGATTCTTAGCATTTTTGTGTTTACATATCAAAGTTTGTCGTATTTTCGCTCTAATCGGAATATTATTCGGCTAAAGTGAGACGGAATCTTTTACTGGATCAATTTCTGCACCTTCCGTTGCATAGTGAGCTAAAGTATCATAAAAATGCTTGTGGCAGGGCCGTGTGCCACTTCACAGCGGCCTGCGGTATTCTGTGTAGCGAATGTAAGAGTTAATTCCAAGATAACTACACAACCCTCGCACCCTCAGTATACAAGGGGTACAGCAAAGCAGAAAGTGTCTGGCTTTGCTCGTTGTGCTGCTTGGATAATCGCACCCTGGTGGAAGAAGCAAAAACACTTCTAAATACGATAACTTAGAAACTGTCGTCGAAAGTCAGAGTCGATAACTGTGATGGTGATGACGACACAGCATCCATTGACACACAGATTGCTGTGCAAGGCTTAAAGAATGTCTCACGACAAGCTGTAAGTCGGACGCGTAGACGACCTACTAGGTTTGCTGACACCAACCTGTTAAGGCCACACCAAGCAGGGTGAAGCGAGCATCTTCTAATTCTCGCGTCCTCAGAGCTAGCAGACCCAGTCCGAAAACTGCTGACCGTAAGACTTGGTCTACTTCGGATAAAAGAAACAGGAGTGAAGCCCTCTCAGTTCCTACCACGGAACCATGTAGATTGCTGGTCATACCCAGTTCGGCGACCCAGTGATTGACAAGGACTAAACAGAATGGGATCCAAGCCCGTTCTGAGGCTCTCAGGGTCAAGGTCACTGAACTAGACTTTAGTAAACCTTGCATCCCCGGCTCTGAAAAACGGCAAGTAGCTAAGTCTTAGCGTCGTACTAAGAAGCCAGTAACAATCACCGAACAAGCTATCATCACTTCACACAGCAAAGACAAATTAGAGATCCCTGACAGGTCCGTAATCCTGCACAGAGTGAAAGAAAGTGGAGACCAAGAAACACGTAAGCGTCCCGAACATGACCTTGCCGAGGTACAAAGTTTGATAGACCAGCTTTAACCGGAAATCGTGCCAGGAGTCACCTCACTCAAGATATAGAGAGTAAAAAACAGGAGAAAGTCACTGCTGAAAGCAAGTTTCGGCCACTTAAAGCTGTGTTCAAGTCGGTAGGTGAGAGGAATCAGATTCCGAAGAATGCTCACAGACTTCAAGGATCTAGAGTGTTCGCCCGAAAGGACCTGGCTCTTTCTGACCGAATTGTAAAACGAGAAGCAGAACCGAAATTCAGATTTGCAGCTGGAGAGCAAGATTTGAATTTCCGTGTAGTGAGGCTTCCGCAATAAACGATGCGGTAGTCTGTACGGGTAGAACGGAAACTCATTTAAGTAGCTTCGTTGTCTTGTGCACAAATGCACACAGTCTTTTGGGCAAATGGACTGAGCTTAGTAGTGTGATAAGCGACGAAAGCCCTGACATCACTGCTATCTCGAAACTTGGCTGTCTTCTTGGATCAGTGACTGTGAAACGCATCTACGAGGATTCATCCCCTTTAGAAATGACACGTTAGCACGCAAAGGTGGTGGTGTCGTCCCTTACGTTAAGAATACGTTAACCATGAGAGCCGTATAAACAGTTGCACATGAAAGTGGGACATGTGAAATGCCGCGCTGCCGACTAAAATACAACACGAAAGATGTCAACATAATCACAATATATCGAGGCCCTGAATGTGAGGCAGCAGACTTCCCCCTGAATAAGCAGACCCTCTGGACAGATAAGTGCTGATGTCTGGTTGAAGTAGACCTCAAAGCACCATCAACGGACAGGGACAGACTGACAACAAAAGCACCACGCGATTCATTTGACCACAGGTTAGTGGAGGTATCAGTTTCCCCAGCCTCCATGCGGCACATTAGGACACCAACCTAGTATGATCATAAGCATGCTCCACCAGTTCTAGACTTAGTGTTCTCACATACGGATGACGTGTGCTTCATCCAGCACCTAGCACCTCTTGGTAAAAGTGATCACGCTGTGATCATTTTCAGATTCACAGCAGAAGTCTTGTACCAGGTCGATGCCCCGGCATAAGGAAAGAGAGTATGAAGGCTATTAACCTGGTAGCATCTTCGGAGTACTGGACAGCCAATCCGGAAGCCTCAGTTGAAGGTGCGTAATGCTTCTTCAAACAGTTATATGCACGAGTGACCCAACCGTTCATTTCGTGGGCTGTACAAAGGGGAAGGAAACACCGTCCCCTGTGGATAAACCGCGAAACCCGAATCTTTCTACAACGTAAGAAAAAGTGCTGGAGTTTGCCACCCACTTCGGTTCACCGAAGTGGTGAAGCATTGCGAAGAATTTCAAAATGAATGTATCACTGCTATCCGCCAGTCTCAAATACGCTTTGAAACACGTCTTGCTCGGGTTGCATTGCAACGTCCGAGGAGGTTATTTTCCCATATCAGCTACAGAAACAAGATGTGTCGTCGTATACCTGTCCCAATCAATGGGACCGAAAACGACTGTTTGATTGAGGACGATAGGGAAAATGCAGAAGCAATGGATGGATATCTTGCCGGCGTCCTCGCGTAGGAATCTTCTGTGGATATTCATCCAACGGTAGAAGCACTGATATCCAGCAGAATGAACTCTGTGGATGACAATGACAATCATGTGCTTCGGATGTTAAGTAATCTCAACGTGGAAAAATCAATGAGACAAGATGAGCTGCATACGAGGCTGCTCAGAGAGCTTGCACTGCATGTAGCCGGCCCACTGACTACTATATTAAGACTTTCCCCCAGTGAAGGCACAGTCCCCTAGGACTGGAAGGATGTCATTGTGGCACCTATCCACAAGGCTGGTTCTAGGCAGCACCCAAAAAATTACAGACCGATAAGTTCGACCAGTACTGTAGTGAAAATCCTAGAAAGAGTAATCAAAAAAGCCATAACTGTCCATCTGGGAGCAACACTTTTGTTCTCGTTCGCAGCATAGCTTACACAGAAACTGCTCTTGCTTGACGAACCCTCTCGCAGTCAGAGAAGGTTGGGTTAAGACTAGAGATGATAAAGTACCTGTAGATTTCATTTTCACAGGCTTCAGTAAGGCGTTCCAGGTTGGTCGGGAAACCGGGAAGTTTTCGAGTCACTGGCAGCCTGCCTGCATGCGTGAGAGGCTTCTATGCTGGTAGGCGACGAAGGGTAAGGATCAATTCTCAACTCTCCCCTTGGAAGTCGATAGAGAGTGGAGTTCAGTAAGGCATAGTCGTGGGTTCCCTGCTGTTCCTCCTATACATAAAAGAGCTGCCACATACCAATAAATCCCTTATGGTTCTCTACGCTGATGATGTAAAGAGCTGGCCGGAAATCAGGGAAGCGGAGGATACGCGTGCACTTCAGGCAAACCCAAGCGGCTTGTTTACCTGGCCAGAGAGGTGTCAGAAACCTATCAATGCAGGTAAATGTGTAAGCATCCACTTGGGGCACACACATACAGCAACACCTACGGTACTGGCAGGACTCCTTTACCGTCGGTGCTGACCCATAATGACCTAGGAGTCACAGTGAGCTGCGATTTGAAAACCACGGCTCACCGTCTATTGGTAGCGGCTCAGAGTTTTAGGACTTTCTGGGTATTACGCAGCACGTTTGCGAAAATAAGTGGTGACATGTTCACCATCTTGTACATATCCTCAGTTGTGTTTAAGTTGGAAAACTGTGCACAAGCAGCTAATCCCCGTTTGAAAGGTGACGCAGACCTTCTAGAAAGAGTTCCAAGGGCAGTCATTCGCTTGTTCTTTGCGACGGCCGGCCTCACCTATGAAGGTAGACCTAAGAAGCTGAACCTCTTTGCATCGTCCTAAAGCAGACGGAGGGGAGACCTAATCATGCTATACGGATCCTAAAAAATGACTTCGGACCCGGTCTATCTTCTCTTTTCTTTCCCACTAGGTCGGAATACCTCACAGGACATGGTAGGGGGCTAGAAAAACGAAGAACGGACATAGTCCCCGCGGAGTGCTGGTTCTCGCGTTGAGTAATCAAATCGTGAAACCGGCTCCCGGAAGAGGTGGTGTCCGAATCGTAAACTGACTCCCTCTAAAGGAGATTGGAAAAGCATAGAAATCTACTGGAAGGGGATTATTATAAGCTTCCAGTCTCTTATCCTCAAACGAATGTGAATCTGAATATGCATATGCGTAATAAAAGCATGCAAAAGGCCATTGGTAAGAAGGGCAAAGAGGGATGGAGCCAGGGGTACCTTTCGATTGGTATTAATCTTTGGGTAGTTTGGGCTCCTGAAGGAAAGCCA